CTTTACAGCGCTGCACTCGCTGTGCTCGGGGGGGTGTTTTTTCACACCCCTGAGCGCAGAAAGTGCAGCGCTGTGAATTGCCAGTGTAGCCAAGGCCTTAGTGTCAGAAGCTTGATACAGTCAGTATTGCTTACCCCACAGTGCAGGGCAATGCTTAATGTATTGCAAGATTACTTGTGCTCCCTACTGGCAGTAAAATCAACCTCTAAATGGACCTGAAACATCCTGACACATTTTGTTGAAGGATCTGTCTGACTTCCTTTGTCATTTGTTTTTAACTGACGTGCATTTATTAGACTCCCATTGGTGAGTGAAAATAAAAAGGAAGCAAATATGTTCTGATTGATATTTTTTAAGCCTCTTTTCCTGTATCTTTCACTAGCCTGTGCCATACCACACTTTGATTGTTGGAGGATTTTATCCATCAAGATCTCTCATAATAACAGGGACCATTCCTCATGGTGCTGACCGGTAAGTAGCAGAGACAGCCCCGTGTCTCCATTGCAGCCAGATGTAGACTTCTCTGAAGTTCAGGGAAGATGTACTTGTCAGTAAGGGTTTTCCTTCCAGCGTACAGTCATTGTTATATTTTAAATAGCTGCCTTAGGGCCAAATTCTGCAATCCCTCTGCACACAAACACAGATTCCTGGCATCCGTAAGGTTTTTCCTTTATAACTGGCTGGTGTTTCTCCCTACATCTTTCCCCCTCAGTGGCTGCACAACATCCCTGTATGTCTATAACCACCACTACAAGTAGGCCAGGATCATTGGTGTTTAATTAACAATTTTGGGGTTCAACTCCCATTGACTTCAATGAGAGCGTTTGCATTGACTTCATTGAGAGTCAGTTGAGGTCACTATTCCTTCCACTGACTTCAGTTTCAGCCACTTTGTTCATCTGAGGGTAAGATTTGGCTCTTGGTTTGCAAATTTTAGCCCCGATGGCAAATTTTGCCTGGGCTGCCAACTGCACCCTAGATTTCAGTGATGCTTAATGTCAGTGGTGGGGTCTGTCTGTGTAGAATAACTTGCTGAGTCGAGGTGTCTGTCAAGACACCTGGCTAGAGATGCCGAGAGCTCTTGGAATCTCCTGGCCAGCTAATTCATTCAGTACACACAGCTGTGACATTTTCACCCTGCGGATTGGAGGAAAGCAGTTCTTCCACACAAGACAGAGCCTGCTTATTTAGATCTCATTAGAAGTTGTTGTAACACTGTGTTAATTAATCCTAGGAATGTGACATTTCAGTCAAGGCATTTTATACTAAAAAATACAGTGGTATATTACCAGGAGAGGACTGTGCAACTTGTAGATGCTAGTGTACATTGTATAAAAATGTATTTTCTCTAAAGCTTTCAAACCTTTTGATAATGCCAAGCTCGTTGTTGAGTTTAAACATAAAGAATACAATAATGATGAGTAAAACTGTTGGTCAGAATTTTTAAGGGGGCCTCAGCCAAGTATTTTACTTTACACGGCAATTAATTATGAGAATAATGAATTGCAAGCACAGATGGCGACATTTAACTGCCTGACTTGTAGTCACATTCAGGTAACTGATTACCTGATTCTCAGAGGAGTGGACGGCTTACAACTTCCATGTAAAGTGAAGGGAAACTGCAGTTGCTCAGCATCTTTGAAACTAAGACAGTAGGTGACTCAATGCTCTATAACAGGTGCCAACTATTAACTACTTGAAGCAGCCACAAATTGCAGCTGCAAAATAAAAAGATGCCTATTTTATTTAAGTGGCTTAAATGCATGTACTGTATTATTGCGCTTGATACTCACTTTGCACTTCACACCTTCTAGTTAATCATATTGTGTTCCCCCGTTAAAACTGTAGTGAATGTTGGTTGGTTGGTTTGTTTGTTTGTTTAAAACTGAGGGGGTTTCATGCATGTGATTTGTCTCTGGTGTGTTTAGATTCCATGTCAATCTGAAATGGGGCGAACACGTTGCCTTCCATCTAAACCCAAGATTCTCTGAGAAGACCATTGTTCGCAACAGTCAGCTGAACCACCGCTGGGGGCCAGAGGAACGTGGCTTGCCAAGTGGCATGCCTCTCAGCTGTGGGCAGAGCTTCTCAGTGAGCAAAACCATTTTAAACTAGTCACTCGTTATGCTAATTGACAGGGACATTTCGCTTTTGGCCTTTGAGGCCTTTACATTCACTTAGGCACATTTAGGAAGAGAAATAGCACCTTAAATTGTTAAGTGGTTAATGACTCTTGGTTGTCCAATTTCAGACCCTTTAAAGGGGCCTGATTTTTCAGAGGGCAAGTGCTTAGCGCTCTCTGAAAATTAGGTCTTTTCAACATGTCTCAAGCTGACGGCTCAAAAAGGTACTGAAATCCCTAGTCACTCTTGAAAGTTTAGTATCAGGAGGTAGCTGTGTTAGTCTGTATCCGCATAAACAACAAGGAGTCCGGGGGCACCTTAAGGACTAACAGATTTATTTGGGCGTAAGCTTTCGTGGGTAAAAAACTTCACTTCATATCTTTACCCATGAAAGCTTACGCCCAAATAAATCTGATAGTCTTTAAGGTGCCCCCAGATTCCTTGTCGTTTTTGAAAGTTTAGGTCAGTATTCATAGTAAGGATAACAGTATAAGGACTATCAGTGCTTGTGCTTCACGGAAAAAGCCAGTGACCAGCTAGCACTGAATAGAATTTCCCTCCATTTAGCTGCACAAAGGCTTTACCATCCATATACATTCCTGCTGGAGGCAGGCTTCCCAGAGAGAGCGCTGGTCTGTACTAGAATCGTAAATCCCACCATAATAACGCTTAGTGTTTGACGTTTTCAGGGTTGTGGAGCCCAGTTAGCCCTGTGGGGTAGTGAGAAAATATTGATAACCCCACGTAATAGATGGGAAATCTTAAACATAGAGATTAAATGACTTGCCCGCAGCCACACAGCAAACCAGAGAGAGCTGGCATCAGAACTCCAGAGTCCTTGACTCCAGTCCAACGCTCAGTCTACCAGATCACACTGCCCCGTAGCGCTAGACTGATGACTGCTATGATTTACAAGTGCAACTTTGCAAATGTATTTTTAAAAAAGAGGGAGAAATTCATATATTTGATGCTTTCTATATATTTTTCTCCATAGCTATTGCTTTTTCACACTCATTTCTAAATGCCTGTTTGTGGGATTTTTTTCCTCCCTTGGTTTGCAGATCTGGATTTTATGCGACGCTCACTGCTTTAAGGTGGCTGTGAATGGACAACACCAGTTTGAATACAACCATCGAGTTCCTAACCTGCAGCAGATAGACAGGCTTGAAGTAGAGGGTGATGTTATCCTGACCTGCGTTCAGGTTTAAAGATGAAATCCTACATACAATTTATATAACCAAGTCAGTTGCTGTGTATGCCTCCTAAAATTAGCAGTTTACTAGGGAATTTGCTATTGAAACTTAATCAAGAATCTAATTCTTTTTTTATAACCACTTCAACCTAACTAGTAATCCTGCTATTTCTACAATACCAACCCACGCTTTTTGCATAAGCTTTTCATAGGCTAGAACGTTACTTCTGTTCAGATCATATTGTTCATTTTATAAGCCTTTTTACTATGATGATACCTTAATTTTATAAGTGAATGATCAGGGATCTGTGCATTAAAGTTAACATTAAAACATTTGGAGAAAATGCGGTGCGGTGCTGTCTTCAGAACTCAGGTTTTTTTTTTCAAACTTAAGGTTGAGTATTGCCATCTTGATGGATAAAGATTCTGTCTACATTGCAAGTTACTGGGGAGAACTGAATCTACAGCGCACCAACTTGCTGCACATTAAAGTCCCGCAACTTTCCCTGCGTCGTAGCAGAATTCACCTGGGACATTACTGAGCGGCAAGGTGGTATGCTGTAGACTCTCACCTGGCTTGCCCTGCAGTAACTTGCCAAGTAGACAAGCCCCTAGGAGATGGAAGCCAGGTAAATGGGAAAAAGCCCAGGGAAACAGCAGCAAGGGGTAGGACTGTGCAGACCTTTGTTGCTTGTTAGAGGATCCCTGGTCTGGAACTCAGTGTAGAGGGTGGGCCTGGGTTCCCCTGCCAGGCACTGGGAAATGACATGGGGTGTTGCAGATACCAGCTGGACAGACACCGAGCTTTATATGCAGCAGACGCTGCGGCAGCCCAGGCTGGGGGAGGGATGAGGCAGCAAAGGATACCGAGCACTTTATCTGTTCCATTTATTCCTGTACTGAAAGCAATTACGTAAGGCTTCAGATCAGTCACCACCACTGGGACTTCATTTACAGTCCAGACCAGTTGATATAAGGAGTAAATTCATAATGAATTAGAACAGATCACTGCTGCTTGTAATCCCTTCCTATAATCGCCCTGTTTCCTCTTCCTGTTAATGGGAGGTTCCTGGAATGGTGGAATTAAGTAGCGTATGTAAGTGGAGTCTGTAATATGGTGAAAATTGACGTATTTTCTTTTGAAATGTGATGTAAACTTTGTACAGTACATTTTTAAAAATATTTTCTATCAACTGAGTTTGTCTTCCAGAATTGCTATTAATTTAATTAAAATTGTTGGTATTCACAAAGGGTTCTGTATTAGTTTATGCAACTGGCAAAAAAAAATTGCACTCTACGCTAATGAAATTCTGGATATTTAGGATTCTTTTCTGTGAATAAATCTCTGCTCTGGATAAAACACAAGTCATGGAATTGTGTGGGGTTTTATTTGTTTTGGGGTTTTCCAAACTGACTGAATATTTTACACTTCATGTAGCACCTTTGATGCTGAAAGATCTCAGCGTATTTTACAAATACATTATTTTATTACAGGAGTGCCCAGAGGACCCAGGAATTCCTTATGCCAGATGCTGTACAAACCCATAGTAAGAGACCGTGCTCCTCCTAGAATGCTCAAATTTTAAATAGACAAAATAGAGAAGAGCACAATGGGGTGAAGTGATTTGTCCAAGGTCACATACCAAGTCCGTGGTCAAGTTAGAAATAAAATCCAGGTCGCCTGTCTCCCAATTCTCTTGTATACATACTAACCATTACATGCAGCACTTCCCCCATTGTAAACATAAAAACATTACAGGAAGGGTGGCTGGCAGGAAAGAGAAAGCACAAGGGTGACAATAATTTCACGTGGCTGCTCAGCAGCTACATACCAGCTTGATAAGTTTATTTGCTTTGTTTTATTTCATCTCCTCCTCCCGCCATCTCGCTTTTCATGAGTCAGAAAGCAAAAGTGTTTAAAAAAATAATAGGGATTGAATGTGAAAAGGGGGGGTAGCCTGGAAGACAGATTGGGGGAGGAGTAATGACTTGGAGGGCCAAATCTGCAGTGAGGTGTCAGAGTAGCTCTACTGAAGTCACTGGAGCTATGCCAAGCTTCTAACCCTGAACAGTTAAGTGATGCCCTCAGGAGTGGGCCTCTTTATACAACCATTCTAAAACCGAATGCCTCCAAACTACTCCAGGCTAACCGCTGTTCTCTTCAATTGCACTGGTGTAAATCCACTGAAATTGATGTAATTAACACCACATTTTACACAAGTGTAACTAAAAGCTTGACCCCAAGTTACCAAGCTGTTAAAAATGGACTGTTCCCGTATTCAATGAACACTATATCATCCTGGAAACTCCTTATCAGGTGTTTGGAAATACTGCTTTCTTAGGACTTGGACTGACTTACTCCCTTTAGTGCAGTGATATGACCGTCATTGGTCCTGGACCCTGCATCTGCCACTGCTGAAACCCTTACAGTCAGTGTGACCTCTGCTCAGTTGTTTGCACCTGGAGATGGATACCCTAGAAATGAACAGAGAGAGTCTCGATTTAGGAAGTAAGAGATGCGTTGTCCTCATTCTGTTACCTTCACTAGCTACCCCTCAAGTCCCTTCTGATTTTCAAACCTTCCTAGGTGTTTGGTTTCAGCCCACCTCTCTGATTAATGTCACTGGGACTAGAGCTGGTTGGATATTTTTTGACAAAATGTTTTGGGGTTTTTTTGATTGAAAATGCCAGTTCATCAGAACTGAAATTTTTGGAGAAATGCATCAGTTTCAGTGACTTGTCATGGCAGCAGGTTGGGGTGTGGAAGGGGGTTCGGGGTGCCGGATCCGGGGGCGCTCATCTCGGACGGCTGCCTGCAAGCGGCAACCTGTCCCGGCTGCTCCTAGGCGGAGGCGCAGCAGGCATCTCTGTGCATTTCCCCCACCGTGAGCGCTAGCTCCGCAGCTCCCATCGGCTGGGAACCGCACATATATATAAAAACCTCAAAGTGCTTCTTCAGCCTGCGGTTCCAACGTTGTCTTATTTAATATTGTGTTTTGTTTATACACTGCACAGAAACAAGAGGATGTGATTTTTTTCTTCAAATACAGCAACTTCAGCACATTACTGTGTGTACATACATTAGTACTTACATTTTAGAACAATAACTAGGGCCTTGGCTACACTTGCAGCTGTACAGCGCTGTGAGGTAAACCTGTCTTCATACAGCTGAGAAGGGAAAAGCGCTAGTCTGTCCACACTGACAGCTGCCAGCGCAGTGGCGTGGCCACACTTGTAACATTTGCAGCTGTGTTGGGAGCGGTGCATTATGGGCAGCTATCCCAGCATTCATGTGGCTGCAACGTGCTTTTCAAAACGGGGGGGTGGGGTGGAGTGTGACAGGGCGTGTGTGGAGAGAGAGAGTGCTTTTTGGAGCATGTCAGCTCTCTATTTTGCAAGTTCTGAACTCCCGGCCCCCTGCTCATTCGTTTACTCACTCAAAGCAAACAGCAAACGGTTTGCTTTTCTCTGTGGTACGAGCTTTGAAACCGTCACTTCCGCATTCCTGCAGCCGGTCACAACAATGGAGAGGATTGGCCACTTGACAAGGTGATTAGTACAGCGCTGCAAGCGTTTACACTCACACCCGAGAGTCGTAGCCACTCCGCTGCAGCTGTTATTCCTCTCGGAGATGTGGAGTACCTGCAGCGGTGTACCCAGGGAGATACAGCGCTGCAAGTGCCCTGCCAGTGTGGACGGGGAGTGAGTTACAGCGCTGGGGGAGGCTTTACAGCGCAGTAACTCGCAAGTGTGGCCAAGGCCTAGGATGTGCTTTTATATCACGTCAAGATATCTTGTAAAGCTCAGGCTGGGAGCATTGAACAGGAGAGATTGTGAAGTTCTTTTTGAATGTCAACATTGTGCTCTGTGTGAGCAGAGTAATCTTCAACAGAAATACACCACCAGCACACGCGATGCTAAGAATGTGCAAATATGTCGACACTAGATCTAGTGTGGGGAGCAACGTTCACATTGAGGTTTAAAAAAACCTTACACGATGAGTGCTCCAGCTTCTAAGGGCTTGTCTACACTTATAATGCTGCCACAGTGCTGTAGCGCTTACTGAAGATGCTACATCTGCCAACTGTCTATACTGGGGGTTAGGTTGTTCTATGTCACTTGCGGTGTGCCAAGATAGCTCTGTTCACAAAAAATCACTACCCTTACTGACAGATATAAGTTTTAAGTGTAGACCAAGCCTAAGGCCCAGTTAAGTGACACAGGACTCTCCCATCTACTATTTTCACACTGCTTCTGGCCCGACCCACAAGGGCAACAAGAGTCCACGTTGCTATTTTAAGTGTTCTAGCTGGAGCCCCACCAGTGCAAGTCTGTCTACCCAGGCTGGAGGCTTGCGCCCAGCTGAAGTGTAGACATACCCTACAGGCCAAACCTCTGTGGGTATGTCTTTACTGCATAGTAAACCTTGGCTCAGACTAGGGTGACCAGATAGCAACTGTGAAAAAACGGGACGGGGGTGGGTGGGTAATAGGCGCCTATATAAGAAAAAGTCCCAAAAAACGGGACTGTCCCTATAAACACGGGACATCTGGTCACTCTAGTTCAGACTCAGGTTTAAGCCCTAACTCACCTACTGTCCACAAAAAAAATCTTCTGACTTGCACCAGAAACCTCTCAGGCCTGCAGACTTGCCCACAGAGACGGGCCTGGGTCCGAGGCCACACATTTTGCCATGTAGACACAGCTGAAGCTCAGGTTGCCAGGCTTACGTTTTGAGAGTCCACCAACTTATTGCACAATCCTGTAGTCCGGTGCATCTGAGTCTTTCCTTCCCCAGTCTTACTTATTCAATTCCCAGAACAGAAGCAACCTCTGGATTCAAATACATACAGTTGCTGGACATTTAACTCTTCATGTCCATGTGGCCTGCTCAACTGGCAACACCGTTCACCCTCTTGTGCGTTAGCAGTGGCCAGCAGGGACACGGAGTCCTCCACCCAGCGCACTGTGTTTTGGAGGGTAATTCTCCCTCCTCGTGCCCTTTGTAAAGCAAATGATTTGCCATTGTTTCTCTCCACTCTTCTGACATGGCCCAACACTGTGAGTGTGGGTCCCATCTTGCGCCCATTTCCTATGCTGGTACTACTTATGGTACGTGTCCTAATTACATTAACTCCAGTCCCGCGGCCTGCCCCACACCACCTTGTCAGCAACTACTCGCTCTCACTTCTCCATCCCTGTGCCCCTTCTCCCCTGCCTGTGATCACCCACCTGCATGTGCTCCTCAGACCCACCCCGTACCAGGTTGCATTGGTGCACTCCCCCCCGCCCCAGCCTGTAGCAACCCCCTTCCCCTGCCTGCTCCCCTCTCCCCCCCCAGCCTGTACCACCCCCTTCCCCTGCCTGCTCCCCTCTCCCCACAACCTGCACAACACCCCTCCCCGCTGTTACCAGATTTGCCCATTACTTTGGGTATGCTCATTTATTCGGGTTACTTTTCTGGGG